CCCTGCTTTAAATGACCCCGGGTGCTCACGACTCCCAGGTCTGTGGCCACATCTCTCTCTGAGCACCCGCCCTCACATCCGACTCCTCCTCCTCTCTCCTGTTTTCCAGCCACTGCAGCCTCATGGTCTTTGAGACTGAACCAGGTCCTCAGACCTGCTTCTCATTCTAGATTCTTGTCATGAGCCAATCCAGTAACCTCGACCTTGTCTTCTGCTTCTCCCTCTTGTTCTGTAACTAGTTGCCGACTGTGGTCCCTCCCGCCTCTTGGCTAGTTCTCAGTCTGCCCACCTTCTCCCTGGCCCCCCTCCTCTGGGCCATCTTTTCCTTCAGCACAGTCACGATAGCCTCGGGTGCCTCTGTCCTTGGTCTCCAGCCTCCTCCCACGTGGTCTGCATCTCGAGCACCACTAGGAAGCTCTTTGGGAGATACAAGTCTGATTGTTCATCGCCCATTCATCTGCCCCTTCATGTGTCCTCATCACTTGGCCACACTCCGCACTCAGCCCTGGGGGTTGAACCAGTGCTTTACCCCTGAGCTTCGTCACCAGCCCTTTTCATTTTGTACTGTGAGGTAGGACCTTGCTGATTTACCCAGGCTGACCTTGAACTTGAGATCCTCCTGCCTCTGCCTCCCAATTTGCTGGGACGGCAAGGTGAGATAACAGGTGATCCCTCTGTGTCTGCAGGCCAGCTCCTTAATCAGCCTCGCCCCTTCCCTTTGTCCCCTGTGTCTGTGAGTCTGCTTCCTTACAGCCCTCACCTGGCGTGACCTCACCTGGCATGACCTAGCTGTAGACTCAGTTGGGTTTTGTTTTACTTTTATCAAGAAACTGTCCAGTTGGCAACAGTATTTTTCTTCTCCAACCAATTATTGTCACATTGCAGACTGAAGTTAATGGGCCCAGGATGTCCACATCCTACCACGGGAACCTGCCGTTCGGGAAGTGTGAAAGAAGACCTCAGGGCAGACTCAGAACTCCCTCAGCATGGGTCACATCTTTGGTCCTGAAGCCTTCTTGCTTGGCAAGGGTTTGGGGCCACCTCACTTCCTGTCCCTACTCCAGTACCCCTATTGCTAAGCCCCTGTCCTCACCTTCACTCTCCCAGGCCTGACCAGTTCTTCACCGGCGCCCTTCTGGCTGTCGCCATGTGAGTTTTGTCTTTTCTTGACCTCCCAGCTATTTCCACCCCATGCCTTAGGGTATGGCCTCCCTACTGTGGGCCGCAGAAGTCCTGGACTCCCAGCCTTTACCCTGGAGCCCTGACCCCTATATCTCTTGAGACTTCTTTAGAAGGCAGCTCCCTAGTTCCCAAGGGCCATCACTATCCCAGTGTGTCGGGCGCCCTGTGTGGCACAGAGGCACACCAGGCAGAACCCCAGGATCCAATCTGCAGCTGTCTTGGCTCCTAATCTTTACCTTTCTGCTGCTAACTGCCGGCTGACCAGCTAGCCACTTCTTACTGTCTTTGCCAGCAAGGGAACCAGAACTAATAAGTGTGTTGAAACCCAAGCCTCCTCCTTGGGCTTCTTACCATGAAGGGTGATGCAGGCTTGCTGAACACCCCAATGCTGTTCCAACATGCCGAAGATATACCAGCTCTCAGCCTTTGGGCTGCACCATTTGAAAATCTTTTTTTTTTTTTTAATGAAGTCCATGGCCATATTATAGCTTTACTTTATAGCAGTATTTTATTTAAGAAAGATGTAATCTGCAACTAGAGAAAGGGCACAGAAATGATTGCATTTGTATGGGAAACCAGAACAAGTATGTGACTGTTGGTCAAGTTCAGTTGACTGTGTGTCTTCACGTTCAAACGGCAGCTTCTCATCTCATCCGGAGCCGCCTCTGGGTCAGAGCTCTGGTGTATACCTCTGGTCAAATTGAAGTGCTTACGTCATCTGGCCACTGGGCTGTTCAGAATGCTCCCTTGGGGCCTTTGGTTTTGTGTGGTTTTGTCTGAAAGGTGGTTTACTCATGAGTAGAAGAAACAGGGTCATCAGCATCTTGGGTCCTCGGAGTGGAGTAAAAGCAGTTTGTAAAGTGCAGTCCCTGTAGGCGAGGCTGTCCTGCCTCCCAGGATACTCGGGTTTTACCAGACTTGCACACTGACGTCTCTCTTTGGGACCCGGCGCAGCCGCGGAGACCGCAGCACCCAGCATGCACTTTTCACCTCTTCTCCCCACCGTGGCCTGTGCCTTGGCTCAGTGATGAAGGTGACTCCAGGGACCTGGTCCAGTTCTGGGAGAAACATTTGTGGCCCTCACGGCACTTTGGCCACAGTCGCTCAAGTTCATCCCCGCACTTGTTTCATGTGTTTACTTTTCAAACACTTGGAGAATGAACAGGTGGTTGCATGACTCTGGTGTTTGTTTTAACAGGCTGAAAGGTGGAGGTAACTTAGACATGTCTCTGATGCAATAGGAAAATACCCAATTATTCCATTTTTGGCTCAGCTTTGGGTTTCAGTTAAAACTGCTGATGGCAAAGCTCAGCAGGTCTTGCCGTGTAGCCCTCTGGCAGCTGCTGCATGGGAAGTGGGCTCGCTGGTAACGGTGGCCTGGTCTTGGTTACCTGTGAGCTTCCCAGTGGCCGCAGTGCGGGAACTTGGTGCGGGAGCTCCTCTCAGAGCCTCCGAGATCAGCTGTGCCCCTGTGACTCCCGAGCGGCTAGAAGCCCCCGTCTGTTCGGCCTGCTCTAGAATCCAGCTTGCAGGACCCCCGGCCTGAGTGGAGAACATGCTGAAGGCAGATCCCCAAAACGACAGCTGATGGTTGCCCCTCATCCTCATCCATTCAGGACAGAGGCCAGGATTGGCTTTGGAACCACCGTCACCGAGCAAGTGGAAGGAGCAGGGGTGTCACTGGATAGTTAATCACTCAGGATTTCAGGGTGTTTCTTCCTGAACCTCAATGACTTTCAGATTACGGGTGAACACACACCGCCTTTATGATTCACAGCCAACTCTACTGGTGTATGACCAAGTTGTTTCAGTAACAACGGGGCTGGGGGGCACTGTTTCCCTGCTGGCTGCTTCTGGGCCACTCCAAGTCGCTTTGTACTTCCCTCCCGAACTTAGGCAAAGTCGCTTATGATAGAAGGCGTTAGGGCCGGGGCGTAGCTCATTGGTAGAGCACGTGCTTAACACACGTGAGGCCCCAGGTTCCATTTCAGCACCAAAACCAGAAAGAGTAGGGGGCATGTGGTTCTTGGCTGTGAACATGGAGGTGCCAAACCCACACACCAAGGTCACACAAAGATCACACAAAGCAACTTGCTTATCTATCTGCCACCTTAAACTAGTAGCTCAACCATTTCTAAGACTGACGAGTCCTTGGGACACTTCCTAAATTAAATATTGATATGCTGCCTATTTTATCTTCTCTGGCACCATTTCCTTTCTGGAAAACATAAAATGTTCCCCAGTGTGGTATATCAAATCCTCTACCAAGGGAAGTGTTAGTATTCGTGGAGTATAAGCCAAGAATAGTTACATCAGCTAAGTGTGTAAAAGGAGAGGGAGAGAGAATCGCCAGCTCATGAAAACTTAGACAGCAAGTAATCTGTTCAAAGCACATCCCAAGGCTCCCAGAGCAGCCTTTCATAGCCAAGGGAGCTGCGTCCAGTCCCTGGAAGGTGCAGCTCCACTGTGCAGCACTCTGCACGGGAGAAGGAGGGCTAAGTGACTCCTGAGCCAAGGGCTCAGAAGGACCATCCAAGAGCAGGACACACAGGGCAGGAATTTCGGCAGAATCTGGGAGGGACGGCTCTCGGTGGGCATCACAAATTGAAAGTAGTTCTGGAATAGTGCGCTGGCCTCTGGGAGACGATGAGTGTGACGACTGATTTGAACCTCAGAGGTGCTGTTGAGCGGGGTGGCTGCAGAAGTTGCACAGAACCCTGCAGGGGATCTGCTGTGACCCCCAGCACTGGGGAGGTGTGGGGAGGTGTGGTGACGCGCCCACAAGGGTAACCAAGTACGTAGGGCATGCTCCCCAATGCCAGGTGGATACCAGGCAAGGAGTCTCTCCCAAGCCAGACAGACGCAGCCCCAGCACCTGGTGATTGGAAGATCAGAGGAGAAGCAGAAGCAGGACAGGGGCAGGGGTAAGGACACATGGATGACTGCTTTCATGACAGAATTTTAAGATGTGGCAGTGGGCTAATTCTATGATGGAAAACAGTTACATAGAATAAATTAGCAGCTGAGAACGTTTCGTATCCATTCTAAAGATGTGTGCGTGCACACATGGGTGCACGTGGAAGACTCGGCCCCAGGTATTCCTAGTGGTTGTGGGAGGGCAGGCCACAGTGGAGGAGAAAGAAAGCCGTGGCTCTAGTTGGCTGTAATGAGAGACACCCACACTTCCCACTTGTCACAGGAGCTGGACAGGGGACTTGAATAGCGCCGTTCAGCTTGAAAGGTGCTCATCATTACAGATGTCAGGTCGTGTGCCTAACTCAGATGTACTTATTCATTAATTTAGCCAACATTTATTGAGTGCCTACTGTAAGGGACACTGTGCACAGCACCTGGGCTCTGTAGCAGAGAAAGAACAAAGTGCTTTCACCTCGTGGACTCGGGCAGACAGGCTCAGGCTGTGCCAGGGAACCGAGTGGCAGAGCCTCCAAGGGGATACATGTGGCCAGTTCTGAGGAGGAGCACTTGTTGCTACAGTGAAATTAAAAGTGACCAAAATGCATGTTGAGTTTTCTTTATTTTTACTATTTTTTCTTTCAGTCTCTGAATCATGCATTTTGTGATAGTTTTTGATGATAATTGGTTTTAATTTTGAAACTTAGAAAGAGGGTGCACAGCCGCTTTGTGACTGTGATCTGCATGACCGTCACGTCACTGGTTTCTGCTCTTACCCATGTGTCCCCTCAGCTTGCGCAAAGGAAGAATCTCTGAATAAATCTCTGTACAGATGGATGCAGGCTTGTGTGCCTTGTGTGGACTGTGCCACCATCAACCTCAACGCTTGTCTTTTTCTTCCACAGAAGAAACACAGGACCAAAGACCTTTCTCGTGTGTTTCACTCCTACAGTCCGTATGATCACAAGGTAAGAGGAGCACACTATCATGCCTCGGGTGTTGGTTATTGGTGATGATTGGCATTTTAATATGAAAACCTCCAGGATTGTATTCAGTAATGATACCTTCAGACTGAGGTCTTTCTGAACATGGAGCACAGTTTTTACCAATGTATGCTTATTTTAAAGTACGCTTACCAGTTACATTTATGTTTCAATTTAAATTGTCAACACCTATAAAGATAACAGAAAATTTGAATTTCTAAACTAAAATAATTATATTCCATTTACATTAAAATCCATTGATAGGGCTGGGACTGTCGCTTAGTGGTAGAGCACTTGCTGAGCATGGGTTCTCTCTCTAATACCGCCAAAAAATATCAACATGCCAGTGACATCTCAAGAACTGAAAAGACAGATTTGGGGTATTTGTTTGGTTGTTGCTATTTTGTTGTGGTGGTTGTTGTTTTTGGTTAGTTTTGTGTATTATTTTCAAACAGTCAAGTGAGTAAGCTAGGTTTTTAGATTGGTAAAGGTAGTTGAAACATTGACTGCCAAATCTTGGTTACCCATTGCTCTGGTTGTTATTTGGCTAAATGAGAATCCTTACAAAATGTGTGCAGCATTGTATCTGAAATATTTACTATTAAGAGTTTTGCTGGGCCAGGTGTGGTTGTGCACACCTGTATTCCCAGTGACTCGGGAGGCTGAGGCAGGAGGACACAAGCTCAAGGCCAGCCCCAGCAATTTAGTGAGGCCCTAAGCAACTTAGTGAGACCCTGTCTCAAAATTAAAAAAAAAAAAAATTTAAAAGAGCTGGTGATGTAACTGACTGGTAATGCACCCCTAGATTCAATCCCTAGCACCAAAAATAAATAAATAAATAAACAGATTTTAAAAAGAAAGTTTTGCTGGACAGAATAAGACCAAAAACTGTCATGGCCTCCCTGTACCGTGGCCTGCTTTATGAAGACTATCAGTCATTTTTGCTTCATTTTATACCCCACACTTTCCACCCCCTCCCCACTTGAAGAGTTCCCAGATTTCTAAGTATTTTACTCTATATTTATAAAAGATAAGGACTCCCTTAAAAAAAAAATCACATACTTTAATTCATTTTTGAGAAAATGCTTAACTCTTCATGGGAATATATCACAAGATCTGTAAGACTCGTGTTAAGCTTCTGAGCTAAGTAAGGTTCTAATAAATCTGCTAATTTGAGGTGATTTCAGGAGCAAACGAAAAATGTGCACAGTTGAAATGCTAATATAAACTTAAGTCTTATTCTATGGAGTTATGGGCAGACATGTGGTGGGGATTGTATAACTAGTCAAAATAAGAGGTGTGAAGGCCGCTTCCCTCAGCTGGGAGCAGAGTTGTCTGCCTCGGGACAAGGTGCTCATGCCAGTGGTTCATGGAAGCGAAGAGAACTGAATGGTTTCTGGTGTTTCTAAAATGACCATTGACTCAAGAACCAGAAATTTGTAAAAGATGATTATGTGAACGCGACTGTAGCGCCAGGCAATACTAAGTCATTTCAACTTAACATTTTTGAAGCCAAATCAGTCACTTTGCAGAGCATATAACTTTGTTGGTGACTGAGAGAGCCAGTGACCTCTGACCATGCCGGGTCGGAGCAGGCTGATGGGTAATGCAACAGCAGAAGGAACCCGACTGGCCAGATTACTGATGGGCTGTTGCCTTTGGGGGGGAGGGAGTGGGGGAGATAAAGCCTTTTAATTAACCCCAGCAGTGGCTTAAGTTAGCATTTAGCCACAGCAACACACACACAGGCTGTGACATATCAAAGGTTTTGCCTGGCTTGCCTAACTTTTGCCCACTTCTAACATTCCTGAATTTGCAGTTCAGGGAAATTCCATGACTCTTTTATTAGAACTCCTGATGGAACCTGGCCATCTGCAGCCCTCCTGGCTTCCTCTTCATATCCTTTGTGGCACTGTATCAAAGTCACCTCCGATGATTTTGGCTTCTCTTGTGAAGACTTCATTCCCCTACAAATTAGTCATCAGGCAATGAAGAGCTGGATATCCCTGCTGGATGCAGTTCCCTTTGATCTTTGCTTTAACTTTGGTCATAAATTATTGTAAGTAGGTAGGTTGCTTGATGAGTGATTTCTGAAGCTCCAGGTTTGGTCTGTTGGCTTTCTGTTTCTTGTTGTTGTTGTTGTTGTTGTTGTGTGTGTGTGTGTGTGGTGAAGGAAAAAGGGAACTTTTGTTGAAGGCAGCCCCTGGGCCCTTCGTAACCTCCTCCCATTTTCTCAGGCAGCTCTAACAGGTTACTTTTGACTTCTTCTCTTGTTTGGCCTGTGCACCAAGACTGGAACCATATAAAGTAACAGGCACTGTGTTCTCAATTTAGCATGCTGTTTTTCCCCATAAATAAAATAATAGAGGGTTGTGTTCCAAGTTACTTTGTCATTTTAATTACCCAATTACATTCAAGCAAATTAGTTCTAGGCAGATAGGTTTTATTGTAAAAACATTTTACAAGGTGTGGTTAACGTTGGTTCTAACATCTCATGCTCAATGAGCTCGCTGGAGTGATCGTCAGAAAAACACACATAATTGTAAATGAAAGCTTCTATAAAGCACAAACCAGTTGCTTGCGATTTGCTTTCTGAAAGTCAAAGAGGGGGTGAGTTGGGACAGTGAAATAAGGGGGACAACTGCTCATCAACACTGGTAAGGGATGGGCGTGTGGTGGCTTCTCCTGTGTATCTTGTCATATGATTGAAATTTTCCATAATAAGAAAGATGCAAAAGTAAAATGAGCCCTCGTTGCCCCGGGGAGCGGCTGCTCCGATTCTCTTCCTGGCTGGCTAAACCCCTTTAGAGTTGATTTTCCCCTTGACCTACGTTTGTCCCAGGGGAGGAACACTCGGCATTCAGTGGGTTCATCATGCTGAGTAAACTAAAAAATGCCACTCCTGCTCCAAAGTTGGCCTGATTTCCTGGGATTTCATCCCAAATTATAGTGGGTCATTTAAATGCTAGCCTTGCCTCCTAGAAACTGTTAAAGCGGTTCTAATTACAGGGGTAGCCAGCGCGACCGTTTTGTTCTTGGTGAGTCAGCTATATCACTCTTTCCTGCCCCCAGCCCAGATTGCTCCTGCCCGACCCCAGACACAGGAAAGTCACCAGGTTAAACAAACGTGTTGTTCGAGTGAGTCCAGGTGCGTTTCTTAATCATACCCCCAAGCCCTTGTTGAGGTTGTAAGTGGTCAGTTGGTTTTCTCTGAAATGCTGTTGCAAAAAGCAAACAAAGCTCAAAGCAAAAAGTGTACCCAGAATAAGTCCTAAGAAATGCATCATTCCCTACACTAAGAAACGTGGCTCCCGATTGGAAGGATTTTATTTCAGACTTTTGTGTCTGGTTGCATGTCCAATTTTTAAAAATTGTTTTCAGGAATTCTTCTAGTCTTTTAAAAAAAAGAAAAACTTGCACAGAAAGTCTTGACCAGAGCCAGTTCCCATTTATCTGTAATAAAAAGGAACATGAGTAAATGTAATCCAAAAGAGTGGATAATCTGATTGTATTTTAGGCATTCTTTCCCACGTGATTTTAATAAATAGCAAACATGGCTTGTGGTTTCTGAAAGCATGCCGTAATCCCTACCGGGAAAGGTCGCAGGGCAGAGGCCTTCCAGGTCACAGAAGGTCAACCTTCCGTGGGTTTCCTTCAAGTAAGTCACAAGTGAGAGAAGGCTACAATTACAGCACTTTATGCCAGCCATGTGTGGTGTGTCCTTGGCCTGAAGAAAACCTTAGTGTCTCTTTTTCTTTTTGTTCGATTTTATCAGAATTGTGTGTTCTGGGGGAAATCTACGTTTATTAGCCATACACAGATGTTTAGAATCTAATATAAAATCATAAAATATGAAAATGCTTGGAAGGAAAAAGAAAATTCTGTTTAAGTCTGTGACAGTTTACAACATCTGGACATTTGAGTAAATCCCTAAATGCAGTTCATCGGTGTGACTTATCATCTACTCCACCATTAGAGTGAGCCTTCAATAGGTTGTCACTGTTGCGCTGTATGTGCCTTGTGAAGAGGGCATCTCCTCTTCGTGTTGGTCATCTTCTCACAGGTACAGTCATAGATCAAGGTGTGCTGAGGGGTCATGTGGTTCATAGCTCCGTGTTGGGCTTTGCTTTCTGTCTGGTGACTGACCGTTATTTTAACTGTCTTTCTCCATACCTGGATTTCTCTCAACTAAGCTTAAGTAAATTCATGCGTGTCCAGGGGGCAGCTCTGAGTGAGAGCTCTTGGTAAGGTCACTCTGCGTGGAAGGAGGGAGAACTAGCTAGTGCTATGCTCCGCCAGCACTGTGCCGGTCTGGGCGGTTCGAACCCAGCTTGGAATTTGCAAGAAAGCCAGGCAGGCTGTTCAAAGCATTATTTCATTCTCTCCCCCGACCCCATGACTTCTTCAGCCCCCATCTACCCACACCCCATTCTTTCCCAAAAAATTCAGTTCTACAAAGGTAGAGTCCCAGTTACCTGCGCCACAGTCAGCCTAACAGAGGGTGGCTATTGCTTCAGGAACTCAGAGCTTCAGAGAGCAGTGACAGCACACTAAACGCAAGCAAGGACAGGCTGTAAAGACTGCAGGTCGTTAACAGAGGAACTCGAAAAGTGCAGCGTCCCAGAGCACTTAACTTAGACCGAAGCCCAGAGCTCCTAGTACAGGCTAGTAGTCCCAGGGGGAAATAATTGGGGTTAATTTACATTGAAAAGCAGATGTTTTGTTTAAAAACATTAAGATGTACATATCTTATTTTTGAAAGCATTGGTGTTTTAGGAACAAATTGCACTTCTCTTAAAAATTCTTAGGAACAGCTAGTTCTTAAGATTGGGTAAATGAGCTGTAGAGAGTGGTGGGGTTAACAAAAGCAAAGAGCGAACATGTGTGGGCAGTCAGGTAGGGGACAGCAAATATGTGCTCAGGAGACACAGGACGCAGAACCAAGAGTAGCCCACACGATTCACTTATAATTAGATTTTATAGAA